AAACCCTGGGTTCAAGCAATCCTCGCCTGCTTAGCCTCCCAAGTAGCTGGGACTACAGGGCATGAGCCACCATGCCCGGCTAATTTTTTCTATATATATTAGTTGGCCAATTAATTTCTTTCCATTTATAGTAGAGACGGGTCTCCCTCTTGCTCAGGCTGGTTTTGAACTCCTGACCTCGAGCAATCCGCCAGCCTCGGCCTGCCGCGCCCAGCCAGCCTTAATTTCTTTATCTATAAAAGGGAAGCAGTAATACTTTCCCTGCAAGGTTGTTGTGAGAATCAGCAATAGTGTATGTAAAGTGTCTAGTTGTTAAAAAATGGTAGTTGTTATTATGATTTTACATCCGGGGTAGGCAAACTGCAGCCCATGGGCCAAACCTGACCCCCACCACCTTTTTTATAAATAAAGGTTTATTGGAACACAGCCATGCCTATTTGTTACATATAATCTATGGCATATTTCCAGCTACAACAGCATAGCTGATACAGAGACCCTATGACTTGCAAAGACTACAATATTTGCCATGTGACCCTGCAGAAAGAGTTTGTCAAACTCCGACTTCGGCATTCATCACTTTCCTCTCGACTTGTAGTTGTCTCCTAACTGGTCTCCAAATCTCTGGTCTTTCTCCCATTCTGTCCTCTCTGGACTCTGTCGTTTTTTTTTCTAAAATATAAATCCCATTAGGTCCTTCCTCTACTCAAAAAACTTTTTCTGGCCGCTCATTTTCTGCAACTCCCTAGTGTAGTTTTCAAGATTTGTCACAATCTGACCCCAGTCTTCCCCTGCAGATCTGTCTCTTTCCACTCAGCCCCCCACCTCTGTATCCTGCACACCTGCCACAGCGGACCACGGGCCAGCGGCTCATGCAGCTCTGTCATTCTGCACCCTTCCCCGCTCTGTTCTCTACTGCTCCAACCTACTGCCTTCGTCTCTCCAAGCTTTTCTGTGAAGCCTGTCCTGATCTCCTGCCTCTGTACTCTTATATGTCAGGATAAGGTAAATTATGCCATAATAATAATAATCCCAGTAACTTAAAACTATAAGAAAATGGAAAAGTGCAACAGAAGTACAAGTGTCCCACTTCTGGAGCACTCAACAAGCATCTAGGATGGATTTTTTTTTCCTTCTAAGAATAGAAGAAAAAAAAGAACAGCTTATCCTTTTGTTTGTAATATACACACTACAGTGAATTACCTTATTCACAGATACTTGTCATTTTGCCTAAAACAAATGTTCTCATTGATAAGTAGCTGTAAAAAGAGAACTTCATTGAAAGAAGAAGGAATGGAAAGTCTGGGTAAATAAACTGCAATTAAGGAGTCCTAGTTAGAATTGGCCCCAGTGAGAGTTGAGCCCACTGCTGCTTTCCCTAACTCTAATTCTTGAGCCAGTCCTAGAGGTAGGGAGTGTGCACAGGGAGGCCCAGTGGTGGGGTTGTGAGGGAAGGAAAGGAGGACATAGTCTCTGACTGAACCAGTATGCTCTTTTATCAGTACCCTCCTCTGGGAGCATAAAACCCACATTTGACTGTGCTTCAGTAGCTCCACAGAGTTTTCCCAGGGCTGCCTCCCATTTCCATTCTGGATGCACTTGCTCTATCCAGACGTCTCTGGTCCTTGTCCTGCCTCCTGAACTTTGGTTTCTGCCCAGCTCCTTCAAACTGACACTTTGGAAAGAGACTCTGCTAGGCTTGCCCTTCACTTTCCCTGATGCTATCCTGTCTCGTGAGCACCCTGTTATGCAGTCTGTAGGCCTACCCACCCTCATTCCAGGGAGCAAGTTGGGAGCAGACTTAGCTCTGTTAGCCCCCAGCTGAGCCCTGAGTTCATGTTGCTGTTTCCCATACCTTTGCTTAATACTCTGGCCCCAGCAGCCAGTGGCCCAGGGAAAGCCACAGATGACGTGTTGTTTCAGACGTGAGCACTGTGAGCACTACCCCAGAGCACTGGATCCTGCCCTTGTTCTCCGAGGCACTGCTCCATGAGAACGCAGGGAAAACCCAGGCTTGGAAATTGACACTGGCATCATCCCTATACTCCACATCCCAGACCTGTGCCTCACCCGACACATCATCTTGGCTCCAGTCTGATTTCATGTACATTCCCAAGAACTCTTGATGTAGACCTAGATTAAATTTACCATGTTTTGTTGGGATTAGGTGTTGTAGCACCAGCTTTTATTAATCGTGAAATTATTTGTAATGCTAAATGGAGACAATTTGAATGTTATTAATAAGGCACTGGCTAAACAGAGAATGAAATAGCCTTATATTGCAGGGGTTGGCACACTTTTCCTATAAAAAGCTAGATAGTAAACACTTTAGGCTTTGTGGCCATGGAATCTCTGATGCAACCTCTCAACTCTGTGGTTATAGTACAAAAACAACCAGAGACAATCTGGGAATGACTAGGCATGGCTATATTTCAGTACAACTTGATTTAGGTGGTGGGCCATGTTTGGCCTGCAGGTCATAGTTTGCTGACCCTGATATAATAAACTCTTGCTATATCACCATTAAAAAGAATCAAATAGAATTATATGTATTGACAAAGATGTGTATCAAGTTGTTTTTATCTTTTATTTTTATTTTTTTGAGACAGAGTCTCGCTTTGTTGCCCAGGCTAGAGTGAGTGCCGTGACATCAGCCTAGCTCACAGCAACCTCAAACTCCTGGGCTCAACCAATCCTGCTGCCTCAGCCTCCCGAGTAGCTGGGACTACAGACATGTGCCACAATGCCCGGCTAATTTTTTCTATATATATTAGTTGGCCAAATGATTTGTTTCTATTTATAGTAGAGACGGGGTCTTGCTCTTGCACAGGCTGGTTTTGAACTCCTGACCTTGAGCAATCTGCCCGCCTCAGCCTCCCAGAGTGCTAGGATTACAGGCGTGAGCCACCGCGCCCGGCCTCAAGTTGTTTTTAAAAAAGAATATGTATTACACACACACACATACACACACATACATTGGGAGGGGTCAAAATTACATAGACACACATTGTATAGGCATGAAGAAGAATGATAAGGACACACACCCAACTGCTAGCAGTAGTCACACCAGGGTGGGGCAGGTATTGTTTGAATGTTGTACAATGAGAGACTTTCGAAATAATTAAACAAAATTGAATTGGGATTTTTTTTTAAAGTTTCAAAGAGTCTTACTAGTCTTAATCATAATATATATAAACTTGCATTCTATATAAAATATAATCACAATCCCTATAAACACACACCCATCACTAACACGGTGCCTCTAAACCCCGGCCTCTTGTGGTTATCAATGGGAGGATGGATGGATCCTAGGACACAGGGAAGGGAGGTTTGGTTCATGAACCAGGTCAGAGTCTTGGTTGGGAATCATGAGGCTGTTTCTGGAACCAGGGTCTGAGGTGGGCTGGGGACAGAGGGAGCTCAGCTCTGGCCACCTGTGGTCAGCAACCCTTCACATGGAGCTCCTTCTGGGTTTAAAGGGTCTCAGGAATGATAAAGCAGCTTCTCACTTCCTGGTCATTGACTGCATTGTCACCTGCTAGGAGCCTCCATTCCTCCTTTGCTGAAGGCCCACAGCAGGCCAGGCCCCAGTGCCCCGGGAGGAGGCCTGCACCCTCACAGTGGCAGCAGGAGGGAGAGGTACAGAGAGGTGAAGTTCACGGCCCTGGAATATGTTCACCTCAGAGGTGAGTGCAAGTGGGAGGGGCCTTTGCGGAATCAATCTCATCTGAGTCACCTCTGAGTCACTCTGAACTAATGAATACAAGTCTGCCACATTAATCAAGGCAGGGCAGAAATTCCAGGCAGACAGAAGCCCAGTGTTGAACGTCCAAGATGGAAAAAAGAAACACTGTCAAAGGTACCATAAGAAGTTTATGAACAGAGGTGAGGCCGAGAGGCTGCAGATCAGAAAGGGGAACCTGCAGAGGGTTGCAAGCAGGGGAGACAGGAAGTGGAATTTGAGCTTTAGAGAGATTTTTCTGGTGATAAGAGAGGATAGTGTATGGGCAGAGCAGTTAATGCTCTCCTGTCCAGATGAGAAGTAACGTGGGCCTGGATCCAGACCACAGGGGGATTCAGACCTCCATTTCCTCGCCTATGGGCCCTGCCCAAAGCTGCCCACCCACCTGCTGTGATCTCTTCATTCCTCTTGAAGGAAGGTGCCATGCTCTTAAAACATGGGCATCACCCCCATCAAGAAAAACCCTCTGACATCCCCACCCCATCCCTCACCACTCCCAGGCTGGGTCAGGGACCCCTGCTCTGGTCTCTAGGATGCTCTGTGCATTTCTCTGTGTGTGAATCCCATCGCCTTATGATTGTGTTTTCATTTCTGTTTTATCACTAGACTGTGATTTCCTAGGTCAGGGGCCAGGTTTTATTAGTCTGTCTGTCTCCCATGCCCAGCACAAAACCTGGCACAGAGAAGGTCATTGGGGACTATCTATGATTGAATGAGTAAAGGATGAATGAAAAGTGAAGAGGGGAGATGAGAGAGATATTTGGGGGTTGAATCGGGATAACTTGGCAAGTGACTGGCAGGGCTAGTCGGGAGGTCAGGCAGGGAGAGGGTGGCATGGATGGCTCCAGGTTTTCTGGCTTGGGAGTAGGGGAACTCTGAAGTGTTTTTACTCATAATGCTTCTGACACCCAATGTGTGGATTTTTCCTGATACCAACCAATTGTCCAACTCTCTGAATACCAACTGGGTATCCAGCAATTCAATTCAATTCTGACACTAGCTACCTGGAATTACTGTCGGATTCCACAAATTAAAAGGTTCCCTTCCACAAGACTGCCCTCATTTCAGATGCCAGTTGCTAGTCCCAGGTTGCCATCTGTACTTCTGACCAACTGGCTATAAATCTGGCTTCCCATGATGTTACAGAAAGTGCTACAGAGGGTGGTTCCGAGTGAACGGCACACAGAGAATCAAGGTTTATTCACTGGTGGGCTCAGGCGGGACTTGCCACCAAATTCTGAGCCCCATCTACTGAGTTTCTTCCACTTCTATTAGGTTGGGGTGGTCCAAGGGGTGGGGTCTCAGGTGGCTGATGCAATAGGCCAGCATGATTGCAGAAGCCAGATAATAGGTTAGTATTAGGTTGATGAGAGTCTTCCTTATCAATGACACCCTCTTCACATTTGACAATTTGTTAGAACGGCTCACAGAACTCAGGGAAGCACTTTAGTTAGCCTTACCAGTTTATGATAACGGACGTACATCAGGAACAGCTTGGTGGAAGGGATGCATGGGGCAAGGTACTGGGGGACACACGGAGCTTCCATTCCCTCTCCAGGCATGCCACCCTTCTAGCACTTCAACGTGTTGTGTTCACCAACCCAGAAGCTCTCTGAACCCCATCATTTAGGGGTTTAATGGAGGTTTTATCACATAGCCATGGTTGATTCAATCATTGGCCACTGGTGACTGACAATCTCCAGCCCCTTTCCCCTCCTGGAGGTTGTGGGGTGGGGTTGAAAGTTCCAACTCACTGTCAAGCCTAGCTCCTTCTGGTAACCAGCCCTCATCCTGAAGCTATGTAGGGTCCCCCAGCCACCAGTCATCCTTAGCATACAAAAGACATTTTTATCATTCCAGAGATTCCAAGGATGCCAAGATCAAGGACAGAGAGCAAATATATACTTATCACAGGAGGTGGTGTCATTAACCAGGGCAGGAGATCTGAGTAGAGGAGCAGATATAGGAAAGAAGATTGTTTCAGAATCTACCATGTCATGACACAAGAACAATCCTTTATTACCTCTCATGGCAAGAGGTGCTCCTTCTCTTCCGTGTGTTGACACATCTGTTACATGTCAGGTAGTGCAGCACGCCTCTTACTGACCTTCCTCAGTGCCTTCGTTTCATCCATCTATCTACGCATCTTTCCTCTTCATCTTCACAAGGGGCCTCTCACCTATATGCAAACCTACAGCTCAGTTCTCTGGCAGCTTTGCGAAATAAAATTTGTCCTGTGACCAGTTTTCTTTGCTCAGAGGGACTGGGGCATAAATGCTAGAGCCCCTTCTTGCATTTAACTGAACCCAACTTTAGGCACAGCTGCGACTAGGGATGTGAATGTTGTCAGGCCCTTGATTTCACTCCCTAATGATTCAGTCTCACTTCTTGTTTCTTGGCTCTAATTCTCAGGAGGTTCTCTCTGTGCAGTGGCAAAAATGACAGTAGTAGCTCTAGCTTGTTTCTTTCTAGCTCAAGCCCAGCCAAACAGAGCAAGCCTCTATTCACAGGTGCCTGCGACAGCACTGAGAGTCACTCCGATGGGGCCAGCAAGGTTGTCTGTTGGCCCCTGAAGGGATCTCTGAGGTCAGCAACCTGCAGCAGGGTCTTGTGCTGGAGGAAGAGAGATGGGTCTTAGATGGGGGGAGGGGAGCAAACAACAGGCATTCACTACAGGCAGTTACGCTCTGAAATCCGCCCTGCTCCCAGGTGGAGCTCCGGCAGCATCCACGCAGTGCCTGCACACTGCAGGCCTTAGGATTACTTCTACTTCTGAAAATACGGCAGCAATGAGCCATGACCTAGGATTCTAAGGCCGAAGCTATATCCTCGCTTTCCATTCATTGTGGGCCCGGAGCTGAAGATGCCTGCAGGCTGAGTCAAGACACCCCACATGCCTACAAAACACGGACCCTTTTCGTTTTAGATATTTAATTACTAGTTTATTTCAGGAAATATAGGTGAGAAGACAAAAACCCCTGCATGTGAGGAAGTTGCAGAGTCATGAAATCTCTTAAGATTATTATAGTCTTAGTCTTTAACACTATATGGTTTCCAATTCTTTTTCCTAGATGGAATCTAGAAGCCCAATATATTCATTTGTTCACTCATCTAGTAAACATTTATTGATCATCTACTCTGGGCCAGACGCTGGAGGTATAAAGGTGAACAAGGACTAATCTTAGCTCTCAAGAAGTTCACAGGCCAGAATGGAGAGAATGACTAAACAAATGACCATGGTGAATTTTTTTTGAGACAGAGTCTCACTTTGTTGCTGGGGCTAGAATGCCATGGCATTAGCCTAGCTCACAGCAACCTCAAACTCCTGGGCTCAAGCAATCCTTCTGCCTCAGCCTCCCAAGTAGCTGGGACTACAGTCATGTACCACTATGCCCAAGCTAATTTTTTCTATATATTTTAGTTGACCAATTAATTTCTTTCTATTTTTAGTAGAGACAGGGTCTCGCTCAGGCTAGTTTTGAACTCCTGACCTTGAGCAATCCGCCCGCCCGCCTTGGCCTCCCAGAGTGCTAGGATTATAGGTGTGAGCCACAACACCCCGTCTGGAATAACAAAAGTTTAAAGGAAGAGCTTTGGAAGAAGGCTGCTGCTCCTTCCTCCTGGAGCTCACCTGCTCCCTAGAAGCCATCAGGAAAAGCACAGTGGAGTTGGAATCATCTCAATTCGAGCCTGGAGCACAGCACTGTATTGTAAATATTGTATTTGGAAGGTATTACAGGGTGAAGTTGGCATAAACTTTATGGAGGGCAAGTTGGCAATAACCAGCAAAATTTTGCCACCATTTTCTCTTTTAGGACTGTTTCTTCCCTTGCTTATGTAAGAAATTACATTTTTACAAGGTTTTTCACTGCAGCACTATTGGTATTATAATAACTAAGACTGGAAATAACCTCAGTGCTCAACATAAATAACAAAGATGGTACAACCATACAAAGAAGTATTATGCAACTAGAAAAACAAAGAGGAAACTCTTTATATACTAACCTGGAACATTTGCCAAGACATACTGATAAGTGAAAAAGCAAGTACCTGAACCATGTTTTAATATGCTGCCTTTTGTAGGAAAAAAGAGGAAAAAATTATACACACACACACAGACACACAGACACACACACACACACACACACACAATTCCTTGTATGTTTATAAACCAGCTCTTGAAAGGGACAAAAGAAACTGATAATTTCTTTGGGGAGAGAAACTCGGTGTCCCAAGGAAGGAAACTTCAGTGTACTCTTTTTATCATTTGAGTTTTGAATGTATTATCTATTTTGTTTGTTTGTTTGTTTGTTTAAAAAGCCCTCTCCCCACCTCTCCAGAGCTGGAAGTGGAGGGTGAGGGCAATTTGCATGTCAGGGAAGGTATATACAAGGCTGATTTCATCTCAAAGATCCTTTATCCTCCACCAGAAAGGCCATCTTTGGGCATTTCTTTCTTCTGCGTTGAAGAAATTTGGCACGAACTTTTACTGTTATCAACAGCTGCTTAACCTAGTATTAGCTTTCATTTCCTTTTGTTGCCTTCCTACAAAAGGCTTTGTGCTTTCGCAAACCTCTGGGTTTGGTCTGTGTAAGGTCCTGGCTTGGTGGACACCTTACTGGTTCCAGCTGCCTGCAGCTGTGTGGACGTGCCAACATCTCAGCCTTTTTGCTTGCCAGCTGTGGTTGTTTTTGGCTAAGTGTTTTCCTTGCTCACAGGCTGTTCCAGTTGTCAGCTCTTCCTCCTACTCTGGTGGGGAGAGTCCCCTTTAAAGCCATGTGCTTAAAACTGAAACTGAAGCATACCAGCCTGTGTGCGGCCACCAAAAAGGCGGGGTCTCCACTCTCATCTTGGTTCCACCAACTGCCGGCTCCCAAGTACCTCCTTTGCTGATGACCTTTTCTCGTAGGAAGTTCAAGGGCAAGGTGGCTCAAAGAACCTGGC